AAAAAAAAAAAAAAAGAAATGAGAATTTTGGGCGGCACCTATAGCTCAGTGGGTAGGACACCAACCACATACATCCAGGCTGACAGGTTCAAACCCAGCCCAGCCTGCTAAACAACAATGACAACTGCAACAAAAAAAATAGCTGGGTATTGTGGTGGGTGCCTGTACTCCCAGCTACTTGAAAGGCTGAGGCAAGAGAATTGCTTAAGACTAAGAGGTTGGTTTGAGGTTGCTGTGAGCTGTAATGCCAAGGCACTCTACCAGGGGCAACATAGTGAGACTGTCTCAAAAAAAAAAAGAAAGAAAGAAAGAAAGAAAACAAAAGAAATGAGAATTTCATTTGTATATGATTTCTCTCATTTTTCCAAGTTAAATTGAACTTAAAAAGTAATAAGACTTACAGTGACTAGCATAAAAATAGAGATCTAACTCCATGTATTCAGGGTGCTGTTAAACTTATAAGGAAGTGATTAAGGACAAAGAGTTAAAGTTCTGACAACCAAGTTGAGTGTTTGGAGACCACAGAATCATACATTAACTTATTATGAATTGAAAACATATAGTGCTGTCAGTCTCACTCATTCCCGTGTGGAATATTTTAGGACTCATTGGCCTTTGAGGATGTATCTGTGAACTTCAGCCAGGAGGAGTGGGCTCTGCTGGATCCTTCACAGAAGAAACTCTACAAAGATGTGATGCAGGAAACACTCAAGAACCTGGCCTCTATAGGTAAGAATGATGTCATATCTTCACTTTGTCCATTAGGAAACAAGTACTTCTTGCTTACTGTCACTATTCCAAGATTTGGCATATCAAAAGGAATACTTTGGTAAACAAACCAGACATGGTTATAGCCCACTGTGAACCTAGAATCTAATAATTTCTCTATAAATTTCTCATAATTTATAATGATTATTCTGGATCTACATTTTAGGAAAAAAATGGAAAGATCAGAACATTGAAGATCAGTATAAAAATCAGGGGAGAAATCTAAGGTGAGTTGCATTCACAGTAGATGGCAGTATATGTTGAAAGAATCTTAGTATGTTGTGAAATTTTTAAGACAAGAAAACCAAATAAGCCCAGTTTCACATGTATTGATTCTCAGAAAATTTTTACAAAAAATGTTTTCTTAAGTGACACAGATATTCAGTGTTTGAAAAATACATACTTGGAAACAGTGTTTTAAAACCTTGTATAAGGTGATGCCTGTGGCTCAGTGAGTAGGGCGCTGGCCCCATATACCAAGGGTGGCGGGTTCAAACCTGGCCCCGGCCAAACTGCAACAAAAATAGCCAGGCATTGTGGCAGGCTCCTGTAGTCCCAGCTACTTGGGAAGCTGAGGCAAGAGAATCACCTAAGCCCAAGAGTTGCTGTGAGATATGATGCAGTGACACTCTACCAGGGGCAAGAAAGTAAGACTCAATCTCAAAACAAATAAATAAACAAAAAAACCCTTGTGTATATCAATGTGATGATAGCTATGGATGAGCTCTCTTGGAGAACATTGAGTATATTAACTTTAAAACAATTCAGACAAGGCAGAAAACCTACAGTTTCCCTGAGAATGATAAAAATCTAATTCTGCTACCTGGTAATAAATATAAAATCATAAATAAATAACCATGATTAATGTGTTTCTAATCTTTTACAGACGCCATATGGTTGAGCCACTCTGTGAAAGTAAAGAAGGTAATTGGTATGGAGAAATCTTTAATCCAAATCTCGCTCTTACAAAGCAAACCACTGGAATGAAACCACAGGAATGTAGTATGTGTGGCAAAGTGCTCATGCGGCGTTCGTCCCTTACCAGACACATGAGGACTCACACTGGATGCAAATTAGATGAGAAGCCATATAAATGTAAAGAATGTGGGAAAGCCTTTAGTTATCTCAAATCTTTTCAAAGACATGAGAAGACTCACACTGGAGAAAAACTCTATAGTTGTAAACAATGTGGAAAAACCTTCATATATCACCAGCGCTTTCAAACACATGAACGGACTCACATTGGAGAGAAACCCTATCAATGTAAACAGTGTGGCAAAGCTCTCAGTTCTCCCAGTTCTCTTCGAATTCATGAAAGGATTCACACTGGAGAAAAGCCCTATAAATGTAAAAAATGTGGGAAAGCATTCAGTTGTCCTAGTTCTATTCGAATACATGAAAGAACTCATACTGGAGAGAAACCCTATGAATGTAAGGAATGTGGCAAAGCCTTCATTTCCCACACACGTGTTCAAACACACATGATAACGCACAATGGGGACAGACGTTATAAATGTAAAGAATGTGGGAAGGCATTCATTTTTCCTAGTTTCTTACGAGTACATGAAAGAATTCATACTGGAGAGAAACCCTACAAATGTCAACAATGTGGTAAAGCCTTCAGATGTTCCACTTCTGTTCAAATACATGAAAGAACTCATACAGGAGAGAAGCCTTATAAATGTAAGGAATGTGGGAAATCCTTCAGTGCTCGTCCAACCTTTCGAGTACATATGAGAGTGCATACTGGAGAAAAGCCCTATAAATGTAAAGAATGTGGGAAAGCCTTTAGTCGTACAACTTACTTTCGAATACATGAAAGGACTCACACTGGAGAAAAACCCTATGAATGTAAAAAATGTGGGAAAACCTTTAATTATCCTCTAGATTTGCAAATACATGAGAGAAATCACACTGGAGAAAAGCCCTATGAATGTAAGGAATGTGCAAAAGCCTTTATTTCTCTTGAAAACTTTCGAAGACACATGATAACACATACTGGAGATGGACCTTATAAATGTATGGAATGTGGGAAAGCATTCATTTTTCCTAGTGCATTACGAACACATGAAAGGACTCATAGTGGAGAGAAACCCTATGAATGTAAACAATGTGGGAAAGCCTTTAGTTGTGCTGGTTATGTTCACATACATGAAAGAACTCATACTGGGGAGAAACCCTATGAATGTAAGGAATGTGGGAAAGCCTTCATTTATCCTACAAGCTTTCAAGGACACATGAGGATGCACACAGGAGAGAAACCCTATGAATGTAAAGAATGTGGGAAAGCATTTAGTCTTCACAGTTCCTTTCAAAGACATGAAAGAATTCATAGTGGAGAGAAACCTCTTGAGTGTAAGCAATGTGGCAAAGCTTTCAGTTTGTCCAGATCCTTAAAAAAACATGTTAGAATGCACACTGGATAAAAACCCTATAAGTGTATGCAATAGGGGAAAGTTTTCAATTTTAAAAAGTACTATCAAATTTATGAAAATTCCTGCTATAGAGAAATCCTGTAGATGTAATTAAAATGGAAGGCTAAATGCAAGGTAATTCATGTACAGTTAGGTGCCACACAATGAAAACCACATGTATAACTGCCCCATACAATTGTAATAGAGCTGAAAATTTTGTCACCCATTAAAGTCTTAGTGGTTGTAGCATCATAGTATAACATATCAACTCAAATCTTTAATGTTGCTACACTTACAGTTGATGAAAGCACAGCATGTATAATTATGTATAATACATAGTATATGATAATAAATGACTATATTACTGGTTTATGTGTTTATAATACTATTATTGTTATTTTAGAGTATATACCTATTTATTAAAAATAAAAACAGTTTAGAGTAAAACAGCCTCATTCAGGTCCTCGAGGAGATACTTACAAAGGATTTCTTGCTGTTAACATAGGCAATGACAGCTCCATGTGTGTGAGTGCCCCTGGAGACATTCTGGTGGGACAAGATCTGGAGAAGACAGTGATATTGATGGTTCTCATCCCATGCACACGTTACAAAGTAAAAAAAATTATGAGTAACGAGAGGTGGGAGTCCATTTCAGTGTTTTACATGTGGCTATCCAGTTCTCCCAGCACCATTTATTGAATAGAAGATTCTCTTCCCCAGTATATGCTTTTGATTCCTTTGTCAAGGATCAAATGGCAATAGGAAGATGGTTTCATATCTGGGTTCTCTGTTCCTTATTTTGTTTGTTTTTGCAGAGACAGTCTCACTTTATCACGCTTGGTAGAATGTCATGGTGTCACACAGCTCACAGCAACCTCCAACTCCTGGGTTTAGGCAATTCTTTTGCCTCAGTCTCTCAAGTGGCTGGGACCACAGGCACCCGCCACAATGCCCAGCTATTTGTTGTTGTTGCAGTTTGGCTGTAGCTAGGTTTGAACCCACCATCCTTAGAATATGGGGCCAGTGCCCTACCCACTGAGCCACAGGCATGGCCCTGGATGCTCTGTTCTGATCCATAGGTCCATGACTCTTTTTTTTGTTTGTTTTAGGACAGCATCTCACTCTGTTGCCCCAGTAGAGTGCAATGGCATCACAGCTCACAGCAACTACAAACTCTTAGGCTTAAGCAATTCTCTTGCCTCAGCCTCCCAAGTAGCTGGGACTACAGGCACCCGCCAAAACACCCGACTATTTTGTGTTGCAGTTGTCATTGTTGTTTAGCTGCCCCAGGCTGGATTCAAACCTACCAGCCTTGGTGTATTTGGCTGGTGCTGTAACCACCATACTATAGGCGCCAAGCCCCATGACTCTATTTTAATGCCTATACCTTGCTGTTTTGATTACTATAGCCTTGTAGTATAGCCTAAGACCTGGTGAAGTGATGCCACTACCTTTGTTCTTATGTAAGATCATATTGGCTATTTGGAATATTTCTGATCCCATCTAAGGATAGAACTATTTTTTTCAATATCTGTGAAATAAGTGCAAGTGCAGTGGCTCATGCCTGTAATCCTAGCACTCTGGGAAGCTGAGGCAGTGGATTGCCTGAGCTGGAGTGAGACCCCATATCTAAAAATAGCAGGGTGTGATGGCAGGCACCTGTAGTCCTAGCTACTTGGGGGGCTGAAGCAAGAGGATTGCTTGAACCCAAGAGTTTGAGGTTGCTGTGAGCTATGATACCACAGCACTCTACTGAGGGTGACAAAGTGAGACTCTGTCTCAGAAGAAAAAAAAAAAAGATCTGTGAAATAGGATGTTGATATTTAAGGAGAATCTGTAAATCACATTTTAACTATGTTAATTCCACTAGTCCATGAGCATGATACATTTTTCTGTTTATGTCCTCTGTAATTTCCTTTCTCACTATTTTATAATTCTCCCTAAGGAGATCCTTCACCTCCTTTGTTAAATATATTTCAAGGTAGTTCATATTCTTTGATGCTACTGTGAAAGGTATTGGGTCTTTGATTTGATTTTCAGCTTGAGTGTTGTTGGAGTATATGAAAGCTACTGATTTGTGTAAATTGATTGTAACCTGAGACATTGCTGCATTTATTTATCAATTCCAAGTGTCTCTTGGTTTGAGGCTAGATATAAAATCATACCATCAGCAAAGAGTGATAGTTTGACTTCTACTTTCTCCATGTGGATAACCTTGATATCCTTCTCTTCTGGCTAGGACTTCTAGCACTGTATTGCCACTATATGTGGCAATAGTGGTCAACCTTGTCTGATACCACTTCCAAGTGGGAATACTTTCAATTTTCTCTGCTCAAGATGATGTTGGCTGTGGGTTTTATCATTTTGAGGTATGTCCCATCTTTGCCAACTTTCATAAGTATTCTTACCAAAAAAAAGGTGCTGATTTTCTCAGATGCACTCAAAAATTAATTCATGGTGGATAACAGACTTAAATCTAAGACATGTATCTATAAGAACTCTAGAAGAGGGTGGCACCGGTGGCTCAAAGAAGTAGGGCACCAGCCCCATATACCAGAGGTGGCGGGTTCAAACCCAGCCCCAGCCCCAAAAAAAAAAAACAACTTCAAAAGAAGAAAAAAAGAATTCTAGAAGAAAATGTTGAAACTACTCTTATAGATACCAGCATAGGCAAGGATATGATGAAGAAGGCCCCAAGAGCAATCACAGCAACAAAAATAAATCAGTGGGACCTGATCAATATAAAAAAAAATTCTGCACAGCCAAGGACACAATCAATAAAGCAAAAATAGACAACCTATAGAATGGGAAAAGATAATTACATGCTACACACCTGATGAAAGACTGATAACCAGATTCTACAAAGAACTCTAGCAAATCAATAAGATCAAACAACCCGGAACCAGCCGGGAGGCCAAGTACTAGTACTATCCTAGTACTCCGGGAGGCCAAGGTGGGTAGATGCCTGAGCTCAGGAGTTGGGGACCAGCCTGAGCAAGAGTGATACCCTGTCTCTAAAAATCGCCCAGTGTTGTGGCGGACATCTGTAGTCCCAGCTACCTGGGAGGCTAAGGCAAGAGATCACTTGAGCCCAAAAGTTTAAGGTTGCTGTGAGTTATGATGCCATGGCACTCTTAACAAAAATGACAAAGTGAGACTCTGTCTCAAAAAAGAAAATCAAACAACGCTGTTAAAAATTTACCAAAAGGGCAGTGCCTGTGGCTCAAGAATAGGGCACTGGCCCCATATACCAAGGGTGGCAGGTTCAAACTGGCCCCAGCCAAATTGCGACAAAAAAATAGCGGGGCAGTGTAGCAGACGCCTGTAGTCCCAGCTACTTGGGAGGCTTAGTCAAGAGAATTGCCTAAGCCCAAGAGCTAGAGATTGCTGTGAGCTGTGATGCTGTGAGATTATCTCTTAAAAAAAAAAAAA